TAACAGATAATTATGGTATAATTTAAATGGATAATTAAATAGGTAATTTCAGTAAGTGCGAGCAGTGATATAATGGAAATTCTTGCTGTTGTGGAAGCCTAGAATGAATTCACCCAATTTGGTCTTATTAGGGTCTTGGAAAGAGAGGGGAAGCTTTTCTGAGAAACTAAATCTTTATTGAAATAGACTTTTCCCACCCCACCCTTTTTAACTATTGAAAAGAATTGGAAAGAATATTTTAAAATAGGATTAGACACTGGTTTTCATACAAAGAAATAACAAAATAGGTTAGAAAAACCAGGAATCTGTTCTTGACCTGGGGAGGTACTCTGGTGATTACACTTTATTTATTGGTTGTGTGAAATAAATTTTTTAAAAAATTAACCAATGGTAAGTTCTTATATTTTTGAGGAGACAAACCAGAATAGAGTATTATTATGTAAATAAATAATACTAGGTGCTTTTGTTTTGTTGTTTGTAGTAGAAGAAAATATTTGACTTATATGCAGTTTAAATTAGTTTAAAAATGGTAGTAGATTTGATTGATTACTTCAGGTCTGTTGTCATGTTAGAGCAGGGATTAACATTTCTGAATTCTGTACCATGAAATGAGCATAGAAAAAAGTACTAAATGCATTTTTATGGAACATGTTTCACAATATAAAGGTTTTGCAAGGTAATATGCATTCAGATGAGGCTGTTTAGGATTTGGAAATTTGTAATTTAAACAGATAATTTTAAGTATGAAGTTGAACAGTTTTTGTGATCTGTATATCAGCTGATTTTGTCAGTTATTGATATTTTGAGTGCTTTCAATTTTTTAAAGATTTATCATTTTTGAGAGAGAGTGAGCACAGGGTGGGGGGACAGAGGGAGAGGAAAGAGAGAATCTCAAGCAGACTCCCCACTGAGCACGGAGCCCAAGGCAGGACTCAACCCCATGACCATGAGATCATGACCTGAGCTGAAATCAAGAGTCGGACACTTAACCAACTGAGCCCGCCAGGTGCCCTGTCCATTTTTATCATAAAACAGGGACAGTAATTTTTTAGGGTACATTTGGAAATATTTTTGACTAAAAATATCATGACTAAAAAGCTATAATGATAGATGATTCTGGTAATATTGCATATCCTTCGTAATGTAGTGTTTATCATCTCATGTACAAAAGTCTCAGTTTTATTAATGGTTATTTTCATAGTAAGTCCATTTTACAGAATTCAAGATCCAAATTAGGAGCTGCAGGAGATCAGGTTTGACCATAGTAATGCTCAGTCAGTTTAAAATATGTACTATGATCGTTCTGCATTTAATGATCTTACTGGTTTATTCTTTTCATTCCAAAATTGAATATAGCATTCATTTATCAATACCATTGACTGATCTCCTTGGGCTCCATCTTAACAATTGCTTGCTTTGTTTTTGTTCCTTTCTTTTTACTCTAACTTCTCCCTCAGGCCAGTCACCTTCCCCTTATTTTCTCCACTCTTTAATATTCTCGCTGGCGCCTGTATGATTCCACTATCTTCCCGGCTGTTCTGTATCTTCCCTACTTCCACACTGTACTGTATTATGTTATGGGATTCTTCTCTTTTGCCATTTCTACTTATGAGCATCCATCCTCCTTGCCTAACTCTATGTGGTACTCAGGGCGTCTTCTCTTTAAGCGCCAGGTCAACTAACTTCTTTCATTAAAGCTCTATTTGACATCTCTTGTCTACTTAAAACTATATGGAGGAATATATACCTACATACATAAAAATATTTTGTTATTCTAATTGCTTCAGATTTTTTGGTTAACTGTGGGATTTCTCCCTAATTATTCTTACCTGGAAACTTCTGGTGTTTTAATGTGGTTCTGATTTGAGGGAATGATGGTACCTGGCTGTCACCTTCCTAGCCTTGAATTTTTCCTCTCTATATGTGAAAGAGATCTTTATTTCCAGATTGTCTTGGTTTTTGCTACTGGAAGTGTGGTCTGTGGACCAGTAGCATCACATCACCTTTGTGTTAGAAATGCAGAATCTCAGGCCCCGCTCTAGACCCTATGCTTCTTAATCTGTATTGTAACATGATCTCTAGTCAGTTGATATGAATATTGAAGTTTGCAAAGCACTGTTCTAGGTATCACCTAGCTAGTTGACACATTACCATGCTGACAGAGAACTGTGTACTTTACTAGAACTGATCTTAAACATGTGACCTGTAGTGATCTTATTTAAATATTTATAAATTACCTTGTAACTTTTCATCATGGTTCACAAAAAGTTCTATTCTGATGAATATCACTACTACCGTGCAGAAGCAATGACAAGAATAATCTTGAAACAGTAGCCAGTTCATCTTTCAAGTGAGTTTTTGGTGTGTTTTAGATCCAAAACTATGATAGTCATTTATAAGCCCATTTTCTTTGTTCTGTCCTCTAGCATCAGTTTGCATCTGTGGATGAAGAACTGTCTCTTTTTTTGCCTCTTGGGCTATGACTTTTCAAGAAAATTGTATGCCTTAAGATGAACTTTGAGGGGCGCCTGGGTGGCTCAATCAGTTAAACATCTGCGTTCAGCTCAGGTCATAATCCCGGGGTCCTGGGATTGAGCCCAAAGTCTTGCTCCCTGTTCAGCAGGGAGTCTGCTTCTCCCTCTGCCCTTTTCCTGACTCATTCTCTCTCTCTCTCTATCTCAAATAAATAAATAAAATCTTTTAAAAAAAATGATCCTTTGAGGTGTAGGGAAAAATAATCAAATTTCTATTAAATTTTTAGTCTTACATGAGCAAAAATTAAGCCTTACTGAAATTTTATATATTGGTTAATTTGTGTGTGTGTGTGTGTGTGTGTGTGTGTGTATATATACACAATTTATGACTAAATAGATGGGTATTAATGGCCCATATTCAAATCTTCCTTGTACATGATGAAAAAGTTTATAGACTACTCTGTAGTGCAGTATGACAATCCCAGATTTTCTGAGTAGACTGGGAAATAATCTTACAGTAAATTCTGTACTATGTCCTGCAGTATGTGGATGTGTGTAGATAAGGGACAGTACTTATTATTTTTGTATGGTTGACAGTAAAATAATTTCTCTGTTCTCTGAGCACATATTAATGGGGGCTTAGAGATAAATATGCTCTGTGTTAAGCTGTATTACATGTAATCTATGAAGTTCATATAGTGTGTGTATATAATCATTTGGTGGTACCCTAAAATTTAGATCTATTTGTATACTTCTGCTTTAGGAGATAGTTTTAAAAAACTTGCATGTTTTTATTTTTATGATCAGGAAAGAAAAAATTCTTTTTTGGTACTTCAAGAATGAAGAGTTCTTTTATTATTCTTTTGCATTTAAATGAAGTGTGAACGATGTGGCTCACCTACAAACACATTTCTGTTGGCGTTTTTCTGGAGTAATATCATTGTGTAATGATGTTAAACAGTATTTCAGTGAGTGTTTTGTAGGTTTCAATGCCTTGTTTGGACTTATATACCTAAAAGTGGCAGTGGGAAGAAGTGGCAGAAAAATACCCAGATGTCTGTGAGATAGTGATGTCACTTAGCACCTCAAGAGTGTTAAGTTTTAAATAACAAAAGTAAACTCCAAGAAATGACCTTAGCTAGGAGCAATCCGTTTTGTACATAGCTTCTGCTACATGTGGCTGTGACCGACAAGACTTTGGTTGTGGTTACCAGAGGACACCCTTGTGGTCATAACCAAGTTGTAAATGTCACCAAGATTCTTCTTGAATGTCTATCACATGTGTATCAGTAATTCTAAAGTAGATAAAAATGAAACAAAGATTCATTTGGGAGTTAGCACTCCCAGAAGATTAGTTTTAAAACAGAACAGCAGAAGGAGTTGTGACATGCATCCATAAGCAATTGTAATGATTTGACAGTTATTTAGCCCTCAGTTCCTAGCCCTGTGGTTGAACTGACAGCATGCCTGCAAAGATAGTGAGGCCTGTTTCAGCCCCATTAATGTCTTCTTGAATGTTAGCCTGCGGTCTGGGTAATAATAAATCTTCAGTGATTGATGATTTTATAGTCCCAGGGGATTCTGGGTGATTTCTGGTTTCTGTGAGCCAAGGCAGTTTGCTTCCCTATTTGGGCCTCTAGGAAGTTTTTCTCATCTTTACTAAAATCAATTTAAGTTAGCAGTAGTGTAGGTATCACCTGAGGTTTAATTAACCAGGATTCAAAGCCTTGTTTAAAAACAGTATGATTCTGGACTAAGTATGTGTTAAGAGTCTGAGAACTATAATAGTTTTTAATCCACAGAGCTTTTGTGACATTTATTTGTAAACTTTAGTATCTTTTTTCTCCTTTGTTTTTTTAAAAAAATGTTTTAAGTTGTAAAGAAATTTAATAACAGCTATTGTGAAATAATAACATTAGCTTTATTGTGTTCATGGTGTGTGCAATTTCATTTTTAAGACTCAAAAATTTAAATCAGCTATTTTTAATAAATGTTTTCCTTTTTACATGGTTCAGTTTCTCTAGGAGTCTGTCTTGTTATACTAGTATTAGAATATAAACAGATCTTTTTTGTTAAATATATGTTTGCCATTTAGGAAAAGATTCGATTCTAGTATATTGATTGTGGATTATTTTTAGTATTTTAAATTGTAATTACCTAACTCTTAATGAGTAGGGTTTGGAGACAGAGGAAGGAGGGTAGAGATAAAACATTTTCCTTATTTATTACAACTTTTAAAAGTATATTTTCTTAGTTTATCCTTTTTAAAATAATCTGTAAAGCTTTGTTTTTGGGTGTAACAAGTTCATAGGGCTAATTTTTTTAAGATCATTAAGAAACTACTTTAAAACCTTAAAAGGAATAAAAGGAGCACTTCTGTTTAGTTTTTCAAGTAATGAACAAGGAACTTGGTTAGGAATGACCATTTGTAAGTCTGTATATTAATTAGATGAGTGTCATTATGCTCAATTAGCAGGACTGCCAAATAATCTCTTTAACACTCTGGTCTTTTTTTCTTCCCTCTAGGGTTTTACAGACAGCCCTCATTACAGTGATCACTTGAATGACAGTCGATTAGGGGCCCACGAAGGCTTGTCCCCAACACCTTTCATGAACTCAAATCTGATGGGTAAGTTGGTAATTCTTTGCAAGTAGTCTTTACAAAGCCTCTTTGGTCAGAGACATTTTTTAATCCCTTTGTCCAAGAAATACATGTAAGTATCTAGAAGAAAGTCCCTGTGTTTCTAGGGGCATCCAGGCTTCCCTTGTTCAGCTCAGTTTGAGGAGAAAGCATTCAGAAATGTCACTGGTATCAAAAAAAGGAAGCAGCAATGTTTTTAAATTTGGCAGTGTCTTTGTGACATCAGGCATTTTATGTTTTCTGCTTTCTGGGCAAAGAAGCATTTTGAGACGTTTGTAATTTACTATTTTTAATAATCGAATATATATGCGGCAATTAAAAATATGACAAAGCAGTGATATTAAGCAGATTTTACTTACATTGGACAATATTTCTTTTGGCAGTATTTGATTAAAACTTAATAGTACATTTAGATGTTGGCAGCGTTTGTTTTAAGCACTTGGGTTCCTGTTGGGGATTTTGAAGTTGTGGTCTGCATTAATAAAGTTGTACTTTGAAGGATATTACCTACCACCTAAACCTGATTATTGTATTTTGGCAAAACCTTTAGGTTAGCTTTTCTTTTTATTTCCCCCTCTCCCTGCAAAACACTTATCATTCCTCCCCTCTTTCTTTCTCATGTGAAAGTTTATAGCTGTTCAATCTGAAGTGATAAACCCAAGCTTTTTTTCCCCCTAGTTTGGATGCTGTTTTTTTTTTTTTTAAATCAGTAATTTTACCTTTTTGTAGCACCTGATTAAAAAGAACCTGTGTTTTATAACATTATTTTTCCTTCCTTGCTTGTGCTGGGCCTGAGCACATTAGAAAGCTTTGTTTAATCTGTTTTACTTGTTGTCAGTGGCATCATGTAAATATGGAAGTTTGTATAATTGACATTGATTTCATTACTTACTCTCTTTCTTAAGGACGTGACCTATATTGTGATCTTGGAATTGTCCTTTTAAGACAGCCATGCTAATCTAAGTGGATTACCCAAATCCAAAATCCTGGTGGTCTGCAATTTCTTTATAAATGGTTTTGCTTTGCACAGTCTTTGTTTAATTCTCTTATCCTCTATAAAGTGTTGAGGAGACTATCTGATATTCTAGTGTGGATTTTGTCTAAAGCAGTTACCACTTTAAAGCCAGACTCATTGAATATGACATAAGAGTAAAAAATCTAATGAGCAATAAAACTTGTGTTTAAAATGACAGTTTAACATAAATGCAAATGAAAATCATATCATTCCAGGTAAAAATCAGAATTAATTGAGAACAAAATAATTATCCTTGCACTTAGGGGGGGAAAACTTTCTAATTTATCTTTTTAACTTTCTGTTGAACTTACTATCAAAGTAAAATAGATGTGACACTCCACATTTCTTTCTATAGTATATCTTTTCCCCAAGTAGCATTTAATTTATTGTAAATAGGGTAGAGGAAGCTCTAGTCAGTGTTTTTGTAATTTCAGATCGAACTAAGCTTTCTTATTTGAGGCTATACTTCTTAGATGCAAAAAATCAAAAATTGCCCTTCTTTTATATTTATGTGTTTACATTTATTGTTAGCTCACAGATACGATTCTTAAGCCCAATAGAATTGCATCATTAGCATAGCTTTGAGCCAAGGTGACTGTTAAAATTGTGGGGATAAATGTGGGAATTAAATGAATTCAAAGAGGGTGCCTGGGTGGCTCAGTAGTTAAGTGAGTGCCTTTGGCTCAGGTCTTGATCCCCTGGGATTGAGCCCTGCATTGGGCTCCCTGCTCGGCAGGAAGCCTGCTTCTCTCTCTCCCACTCCCCCTGCTTGCATTCCCTCTCTCATTGTCTCTCTGTCAAATAAATAAATAATAAATAAAAAATCTTTAAATGAATTCTAAGAAGTATGCATGTCAGTCACTTGCGCTGAGCATCTGTTGACTAAAAATATTTGTTATTCAGTTTGAGGTAACATTTTCTTAGTTGGAGCAATTATGAGCATGTGCTTGTTGGTTTCTTCAGCTCACAGATAATTATTAGAGTACTTTTAAAAGTCATACATAACCCTATGTATTAAATCAGCATCTAAAATAAGTCTTGAAATATTATAAAAACTCAAATTTATAAATAGATTGATCTCTTCACAATATAAGTGAAAAAACTTCTGTATTCATCTGAACTACACTGTACAGTTAATCAGGTGCAGCTATACATTTTCATTGTAAGTCTTAACTATCAAATCTTAAAAATGTTAAATTTTTTTTTTTTTTTTTTTTTTTTTTAATAAGGAAGGGGAAAAGAAACCTGAAAAGATTAGGCAGATATGTTCAGAAGGATTTCACTGGTCATTGGCAATACCTAATTTACTATATTCTTCCCTTTTATTTTCAATAAAAATGATCAAATAAGGTACCTAACGGTTTCATGTAAGCAATCTACATGACAATAGCTTGCTTTTGGAAATGAATATCTCCTAAATTGTAGAGTAGTTCCGTACAGCAACAAGCAATCCCACTTGATGTGAGCTGAAGGAAGTGAACTGTTAGATATCCAAATATGTGGGTTTATAGCACTTAGTAGAGTTACAGTGGATAGATTACTTTTCTAGACATTTGATAATTTAAGCAAATTTCAGGCTAAAAACCTATGTTGTTAAAGCATGACTGAGATGTGCATAGCAGTATTTGAAGCATTTGGAAATGTGTAGATACCTAATCATCCTAACAGGTAACACTTCAGAGTTATGCCATGAATGATGAATGCTCAGAAACAGTTAAAGCTAATAGGAAAGCAGTAACATATTTCATCATTGCTGTCAACATATAGAAATAACATTAAGGGGGGGTAAAATCATATGCTAGGGGATGTTATTTTTCGTATTATGTTCAACCATAAGCACATTTGCCTAAAGAAATAGTGGATTATAAAGTACTACTGTCTTTCATGACGGAGCTCTCAAACACTTTAATGATTTTTCACATTGCAAAAATGAGAAATTTTGTCTAACAAGGGTTGATAATGATGCAATAATGAACAATTTGCCACAGAAATGTGCATTTCTATATTCATACAGATATTTTGAAGTGTTTTACACAGGAAGTTAAACTGTTATTGTTGGATCAGTTAGTGTTTCTTTTTAATGAATTCCACAATTATCCCATTGATTTGTCAGTATGGAAAAAAGGTCTTTTCTTATGTTTCAAGTGAAATAAATACATCCTTTTGGCACATCACTAAGTAATTAGCATCAAACAGTTCTATATTATAGGAAAGCTGCAAAGCTTTGACAATAGCAATGAATTGCAGTAGTATCACCAAATAGTCTTACCTATTTCTAGTCTCTTCCAGCTTTAGTCCATTTATCTACCCTTGGTTCTCTCATTAATTTCAGTAAGATTTGCTTTCCTTTACCTGTTGTTGATCAGATAAATTTTTGATGATGGTAGGGCCAATTTATTAATTAGATATAGAAATGAATTATTTCATAGAATTGCCTACCTTCAATTCCCAAGTGAATGTGGAATGAACTCCTTTTATCTTTCTACCTCTCTATGTTTATCAAAGCTTTACTTATTTTAGGCTAAATGTATATATATATAGTCAATGGGAATTTTAAGATGAGATATACCTTCACTTGTGTTCTTTTCTGAAACTTACTCTGCCTCTAGAGATGTTTTATCCCCTAAAGAATAGAGCAACATGTGATGGTATAGGAAAAAATGCAGGGCTAAGAGTTAGGAGATGTGGGCTTTATTCTAGATCCTTAAAATTACCTTTTTGATAGGGTACTGCTGGGTCTTCTGCAGGTCTAAAATTTTATAATTCTATAATCTCATGTATCTAATATCTTTTATCCAATCCTGAAAAAGACTGCAACTGGAATTATAACTGCTAGTTTGCAAATGATAAAACTAAGGCACAGGAAAATTAAGTGGTTTTTTTCCTGAGGTCACAGAGCCAATAAATGGCAAAATTGAATGTAGAATCCATGTCTCCTGACTCCCAAATAGTCTTTCCATTAGGCATATAAAGTATTTGTTCTTCCTGTATAATGGTCCCAGGTTTTTACTAGCTCATCATTTTCTTTAACTCTAATTATGGAGATCCTGGTCTTGAGAAACGACAATGCAAAAATGGTTCCATAGTGACATAACTTTGGGACACATTGTATATCATGTCCCCCTTCTTAGATATTCAGATTGTACTTTGGGATACTAAAGCCTTTGGAAAAAAGGGGAGGAAAAGCTTATTTAACTTTCTTCAGCTCATCACATCCCAGATTCGTATGACACACAGAAGCCTTTTTGTAAAAAGAATCATTAGCCTTTGAGGAACTACTTTTCCATGAAGCACACACTAGGAAATGCTTTTGGTTGTTTTTAAGGGAAAAATAAAAGATAATACATGAAAGTTCTCTGAAATGTAAAGTAGCAACAATGTTAATGATATTGCTGTATATATTTTTATAACTTACTTTAGACATCTTAGCTATTACCACAGCTTGGGTGCAGTTGTTCAAGTACATTATTAAAGCTTGTAAAAGTATTTAAATTATAGGGGCGCCTGGGTGGCTCAGTCAAGTGTCTGCCTTTGGCTCGGGTCATGATCCCGGGGTCCTGGGATCAAGCCCTGCATCAGGCTCCCTGCTTAGTGGGAAGCCTGCTTCTCCCTCTCCCACTCGCCCTGCTTGTGTTCCCTCTCTTGCTGTGTCTCTCTCTGTCTAATAAATAAATAAAATCTTTAAAAAAAGTATTACAGGCAGCCGCTCCTTATGCCCATGGGTCCTGTCCCCATGCTTTAATAAAACCACCATTTTGCACCAAAAAAAAAAAAGTATTATAAACAAACCAACTGTTCTTCCTTTGATGTCTGTTTGCTCAGCCCTACCCTTTACCTCAGAGTTTAAGGGGCCCCCTCCAATAGCAGTTATTATGCTTTATTTTCATTTCATTATGGATTAAATGGGAATTTAAACCCAAGTACACTTTTTTCCTATAAATAATTTTCAAACAACCAGTTTCGAAGAAAACTG